GTGTGTGTGTGTGTGTGTGTGTGTGTGTGTGTGTGTGTGTGTGTGTGTGTGTGTGTTTTGAAGTGCTGCTGCCCTCCTCGTCTTGCTTGCTCTGGTCATCCTCCCTGCCTTCTTTGTTCATCCAACGCCCCTAACACCTGTCCTTCCTGCAATTCCCCCTACATCCCCTTGCACACTGCGACGGTTTGCAGGTCATCTTCCCTTTTCTTGCATTCATGACCCATGACTTCTTCCCAGAGTTGGACCGCACCCAGCTCGGCACATACGCAGGCATCCTCGGCTCTGCCTTTCACGTGAGCAACACACTTCTGCAAATACTATGTGGTCCTGCGGTGGCTTGAACAAATATTTGTCGCTTCTCATCAACACCACAACCACACACGCACACATGTACTGACTCTAACGTGCACACACTCAAACGTGCATACTCACTCACATGCACATGCACACACATTCGCGCACACACACACACTCTCTCTCTCTCCTCACCCTTCCCGTTCCTCTGTTCCCTGGGCAGTGTGGGTCGCTCGCTGGGAGCATAGCGTGGGGACGGCTCGCCGACAAGCACGGCCGGCGGCCCATCATGCTGCTCGGCATCCTGGGCACGCTTGCCGCCATTGTCGGCTTTGGCTTCTCCACCACCTTTGGCATGGCCGTCTTCTTCCGGTTCCTGTGGGGCGCTCTCAACGGCAACATTGGCGTCGCAAAAGCATATCTCTCAGAAGGTACACTTGCCTGCATCCGTGCACGCGTTTGTGTCTGTGTCCGTGCATCTGTGTCCGTGTGTCTGTGTCCGTTTGTCCGTGCCCATGCTGTTTGAGCCTTGTGATCGACACCCTGCGTGCGAAGTTGTATTCACGACCTTACCTGCACCTCTCCCTGACATCACCCACCTTCTCCATCACTCACACCACACGTTGCACAGTGTGCGACGAGACAAACCAGGCGCGCGGGTTCAGTGTGATTGGGCTTGGTGCCGGTGTTGGCCGGCTGCTTGGTCCGGCCACAGGCGCCTTCCTCGCCCGCCCCGCACAGCAGTTCCCAGCCATGTTTGGTGACTCTGCCTTCTTCAAGAAGTACCCCTACCTGCTGCCGTGCCTCGTCGGCGGTATCGTCTGCATCGTGTGCTTCGTGCTCGCCTTCCTCTTTCTCGAGGAGACAATGCCACGGACACGCGAGCAGCAGCTGCACGTCATTGCATCACGCGACGGCAGCGATCACCACCAGCACAGCAACAGCGCCAAGCACAAGCACGCGCGCGCGAAGCGGGCATTGCGCAAGCGCAGCCGCCAAGCCAGCCGCAGCGATGTGCGGATCCTTGATGCCGCGCACGAGGCAGGCCACACCTCATCCTTTGCGCCGTCCACCCTGGACGAGGCGGAAGCACAGCAGCAGCAGCAGCGGCGGCGGCAGCACACGCGCCGCGTTGGTGACACTGGCGCCGCAGATGCCGGTGTGTTCAGCGGCGACAATGAGCCTGGTGGGGCGTTTGATGGCACTGATGGTTATGACGACGTGGAAGTGTTCAACCACGACAACACGTGTGATTACGGCAACAGCGACAACAGCGAGGACGACAGCAGCGACCCTGATAGCGCGTTTCATCCACTCCTTCCTGCCAATGGCAAGCACCAACACCACCGCAAGCCCCGCCACGACAGCAGCAGCAGCAGCAGCAGCAGGAAGAGCAAGGCAGCGGCGGTGCAGGAGCTCACACCTGCACAGGAGCTGGCTGCACGAACAGCGCAGAGCGGGGACACGCTCTCCCCCCGCAGCGTGGTGCAGCTTGCCTTTGATCGCGGCGTGGGCATCTCCACGGCGCTGTATGGGCTGGTGGCGTTTGTGTCTGTGATTGCGCAGGAGGTGCTGCCGCTGTACATGCTGACGGCGGCCGCGGACGGCGGGCTCAACCTCAACCTGCAGGACATTGGCCTGGTTGTGCTGTACGCTGCGCCTGCACAGATCTTCACGCAGGTGATTATGTTCCCGTCCCTCAGCAAGCGGTTTGGCTACGTGGGCCTGTACAAGTTTGGCCTCACCCTGTTCACGCTGTGGATCATCCTCATCCCGGAGCTGCCGCGCGTCTCGCCGCCACGCCAGGACTCGGCCCTCCTCCCTGCAACCAGCACCAGTGACAGCAGCGGTGGCAACGGTGGTGGTGGTGGTGGTACCATGTCGTCTCAGCACTACCACCACGATGCGCCTGCGGGTGCCGTGGGTGCGTCGTGGGTGCACTCGCCCGTGTTCCTCCCCGCGCTGCTGTTTGCGCTGACGCAGGCGTCGATTGTGCTGAGCTTCACCTCCACGTTTGTGCTCATCAACAACAGCTGCCCGCCGCACGAGCGTGGCACGGCCAACGGGCTTGGACAGTCGTACGCTGCGCTTGGTCGCGCGTCGGGCCCTGCGATAGGCGGTGCCATCTTTGCCTGGAGCGCGGGCGCACACCGCGCCTGGCCCTTTGACTACCACTTTGTGTGGTATGTTGCCGCCGCCGTGTGTGTGGCGACATACTGCTTGGCGCTGCGGTTGCCGGAGTCTGTCATGCTGCAGGCTACAGGAAAGCTAGGCTCCAAACGCAACCCCACCAAGTCCTGATTGATACGGGATGGGGGTGTGCGTGTATATTGGTGGTGTGCACTTGTATGTATTTGTGTTCTTGTGCGTGTGAGTATCGGATGGTGCGTACGTATGTATGCGTGCGTGTGTATTTGAGTTCTGTGTGTCGGGTGTATGTGTGTGTCGGGTGTACGTGTGTGCTATTTGCTGTAAACCGTGTGCCTGCCGTCTGTCCAGTGGCATGTGCGCCTGTGGCTAATCAACCCAGTAATTTGTTGGTGCTGACCTGATCATTGTGTTGCTGTGGATGTGTACGTGCGTACTTAGCTTTCATGTAAAGGTTTTTGTGTTTTCCCAACCAACCAGCGCAGAGGGAGAGAGCGTGTGTGTGTGTGTGAGTGACATGAGTGAGGGAGTGTGTGCGTGGGTGAGAATGTGAGCGCGAGTGAGGGAGTGAGTGACATGTGTGAGTGACAAGAGTGAGGGAGTGATGAATGGCATGAGAGAGTGCGAGCTGCTTATCACCATCTCATGGCGATTGTGTGCATTTTTGGCAAACTCACAAAAAACGGCCAAAACGAACGAATACAGGCAGGTGGTGTTGTGGGGTTGCAGCAGCAGGTGTCGTGGAAGGTGTTGTGGATGAGTGGCTGTGTTGTGGATGTATGCATGGATGTGTTTTCGTGCTTCTTGTATCTGTCTGTCTGTCTGGTTGCTTCTGTCTTGATCTTGTGTTGCTGGATGACATGTACCACCACGAACGCACAACGTCTTTCCCACCGTCGCCTTTCAGGTTCTCTTTGCTGCTCCCTTCACCCACGCGTGCTGACAAACAACACTGCACACCACACATGCAACACAACACACAACACACACAACACAAAACACCATTGCTTCAGGGTCAGTTCTTTGCACTGGTGAATGCGATTGACGCCGACTGTCAGAGGGTCCGTTGCTTCCACTTGTTGTTGCAGCAACCAGCGTGAATGGGGTCGCGCGCCCCATTCCCACCACCGGGCTTCCAAGGCCTCGCCGGTGACCAAGCAGCACCAACACAGAGCAGTCAGTCTCGCCCACACTACTACTTCCAACACGACTACAATAATGGTCGCAATCCAGCCACCACTGCTCAGCAGCAGCAGCAGCACCGCCACCACCACCACCAGCAACACCTGCGTGCGAATGGTGGAGGTTTGGCGTCCGACCAGCACTCCAACCCTTCCGCGTCGTCCACCTCCATCCCTTCCTACTCCGGCCTGCTGCAGCCCAAGACCCCAACAGCAGATTCAGCTGCAGCACCATCCACAGACCCCAGACTTAGCGATATCAAAGCTCGCCTCTCCAAAGTGCGTGTGCGCATCTGTGCGTGTATGCGTGTTTGTGCGTGTGCGTGCGTGTGTGTCAGTACCTGTTTGTGTGTGCGAATGTGTTCCTACACCTTGCTCGTGAACATACATGGCTTGGTTGGTGTGATGTCAACTCGTTACGACAACGATGACCACAGCATGTGATGTCATGTGGCTGCACTCGTTGTCATGCCCCACAGCTGCCTGCACTGGCAACTGCTTGTACAAATCACGCACAACCACACACAACCACACACAACCACAAGTTCACGAGTGACTTGCACCCCCTCCCCTCAACACACACAACACACACATACATGCCACGAACCGTCCACGTGCTCAGGTGAATGTGGACGAAGGGCAGGAACCCGGCATGTCGCGGTTCGATGCTTTGTTGCGCAGCTTTTCCGAGCGCCCGCCAAACCTGTCGTCGTTTGATGTCCCCATGTCGCAACTCGGCAGCTTCCTCGACGATCGGCAGAAGCAAGACGCCGACGCGTTCCTGAGCAACCGCTATGGCGCAGACACAAGCGGTCGGCGACATGAAGGCGGTAGCAGTGGCAACCACGCAAGTGATGATGACGACGAAGATGGTGATGATCAACGGGATGGCGAGGACGACGAGCAGCGCATGTCGTTCAGCGGGCTTCGTGATTTGCCAGATCCACACGCTGCTGCACCAGAACCAGAACTCTCTGCGCTTCAAAAACAACAGCAGCAGCAGCAACAGCGACAGCGACAGCAGCCATCCAGTGACAGCACTCAGCAGCGTCACCACCACTTATCCACCCTGTTGTCGTCAGATGTGAGTTGGCAGCAACACGCTGGTGGTGCTGATGGCCACGCCAACACATCACGGGACCTTGGTGCAAACCTCGCTCGCTCCATGCACGCGTTTCTCTCCGGCCAGGACTCCGTGGATGGGCTGCTGCGTAGCATGGTGAACAACACCAACGACAACACGGCTGTGAGCGACGCTGTTCACGCAAGTGCTGCCTCTGATGTCGTGCATTCATCGCGCCGGTCACAACAGCACATGCAGCGCCAGCAGGAACTCGCCGATGCTTCCAGCAACACGCTTCGCCACAACAACCAAGACAGTGACATTAATGGCGGTGGCGATGATGGTGACGATGGTGGTGACGATGACGATGACGGAATGTCGTGGCAGCGCTTGCTGGCTGATGAGCAGGAGGAGTCAACAACAGCTGGCTCCCGACGGACAGAGGGCGAGTTGACAGCAAGTATCGCCAGCCTTCACTTTCCACGCTCGCTCGAACAGGAAACGATGTGGCTTAGCCGACACCTTGGCGAGCTTGGTGAGGGACAGGACAGCCTGACCGCTGCTGCCTCCATGTTCTCCACGGCACAACGCACACGAACGCAAACACACACCACACGCGCGTTGATATCAGCATCTGCCTCGTCGCAGCACCACCAGCGCGGCGGTGGGTTTGGGCACGAGGTCACCCACGATGATGATGATGATGATGATGATGAGGAGGAGGAGGAGAGGGAGAGGGACGAAGAAGAAGGAAGAAAAGGAAAACAACAACAACAACACCAACAACAACAACAACAACAACAACAGCAACCACAGAGACATCGCCACAATGAACGGGAACATGACAGTACTGGTGGTGGTGATGATCGCAACAATGGCCAGGGCTTCTTCTTTGACGCCCCGCTCTCGGTGCTCTCCGAGAAACCACTCTCCTCCGCTCTCTCCACGGCTTCAAGCCACTCTGTATCCCACCAGGTACGACACGCGTGTGCATGAGCCTATGTTTGTGTGCGCGTGTTTGTGAACATGTGTACATGTGCGCGCCTTCCGCTCGTTTCATACCCATTACGCTTTGAAGGATTGGAAGCACCCTCTTCTTTCATACGTTTCACCTTCACCTCCATCACTCATTGGCACCTTTGCTCGCCACATCTTTACTCACCGCATCCTTACTCGCCACCCCTCACCACCTCCGCCGACGATGGCGCTGTGCAGGATGCGAGCGGGTCCCGCAACTACTCTGCACAGGCAAGCACGATTGTGCGTCGACTGCTGGATCAGACGGCCCAGCGCGATGTGCAGCGCCAGCGCAGGTCCTCCCAGCAGCTGCGACACGATCTCCTTGAGGAGTCCATTCCCTGGTCTGACACGCACCACGACAGCAACAACAGTAGCACGCACAACAATGACGACGACGATGACAGCAACAACACGCCGTCGCCAAGCGCCACATCGCCACTGCACACGCCTCGTGGTGGGCGCGGGAGTGGCGGTCGTGGCGTTCGCACGCCTGACAGCGCAACGCACGCGCACATGACACCACAGCAGCACCACTATGACCATCAGCAGGACAAGCACTTTGGATTCAATGACAGCCAGACATTCAACGACACGCAATACGGGTTTCAGTCGTTGCTGGACATGACAGACCGGTCAGCGGCTTCCTCGCATCCAACATCAATGCTCTCTGCCATTGCAGAGGGTGTGCCCTCACCAACAAGCGCTGTATCGCCATCGTCGCCTGCTAAGGCACGAGCACACCGCGACCACCAAGACGGAGACGAGCAAGCAAGGAGCCGCAGCCGTGGAAAGCGAGATGCGGACATGGGTGTGCCAGCACACAGCAGCTCACAGAGCACGCTGCAGCAGCAGGCCCTCTCACCGCCGTACCAGCACGATCCCATCTCGGACGCTGACACATACGCCAGTACGGCGCAGCACTATGACGGCAGCACCACCGACGACGTCAACAGCGGCAGAGACACGGCAGCTGCAGGCGGCATGCGCCCCCATATGCAACAGTCGCACCAACAACAACAGCAGCAACGGCAACACGAAGCAAGCGCGGATGGCAACGTGAGCGACCGTCGGTTTGAGTCTGCGCTGAGCTTCCGTGAAAGCATGCTGCAGTTCCCGAGCATGTCACTGTCCAGCCTCTCCGATGACTACCTCATGCACCTGCCCGCCTCAAAGCACCACCGCTACCATGCCACTGGGCAGCAGCACCAGCAACACCAGCAACAACAGCGCCACCGCAGCGGTGAGCAGAGCGAGTCACATAGCGCACGGCGGCGCGAGCAGCGAGAGCAGCGTGGCGGTGGTGATGGTGAGCGCAGCCGCGTGCAACCGTGGTTGACGGAGGAGGAGCGGGAGCGCTTGCGACAGGATGAAGAGGTGGAGAGGCTCCTCCGCCAGCTGCAGCAGCGCCAGGGCCTCACACGTGACGATGACGCTGACGCTGACAGCACCCCACAGCAGCAGCAGCATCAGCAGCAGCAGCAGCAACAAGAACAACAACAAGGGCAGCTGCAACATGATGGCGGCGCTGGTGGTGAGATGGATGAGGGCGATCCCAACGTGACTGCGGCGTCCGGCATGTTTGGGTTTCTACATCGCGACGGAGATGGAGACGGCAGCCGTGTGGCGAGTCAAGTTACATCGCCGCACAAACAACCGCACGCACGCAGTCCACAGCGCAGCAGCCAGAGCACAGTCGCGGCCACGCCAAGCAACAGCCTCTTCGTGTCCGGCGTGCATGATTCTCTGGACGATGACAGTCAGGTGTCCCCGCTTGGATATTTTGCTGGTGTTGCACGCACGCACACCACAAGTGGCTCGCTGTCGACGTTTGCAACCACAACCGATTCGATGAACGACACGAGTGTGCGATCGAGCAGGCTGCGTGTGCACAGCGCTGTGCTCGATATGCACCAGCGTGCACGTGGCAGTGCCACCGCCACGACGGAAACGGGCACGGCAACCACCACAACATCTGTGTCACCGCCGCGCACCACTACAACAACGACCCCTATGACCACAATAACATCAGCGACCACGGGCATATCCAAGACGGAGCAGGAGCGCATGATCACGTCTGGCCGTGCGGTGGAGGCGAAGACCAACGCGCCCACGCCCTCCCAGCAGCAGCAGCAGCAGCAGCAGCAGCAGCAGCAGCCACAGGGAACGCGCTCGCTGTTGCGCGACCCCGCTGCGCTTCATGCGTTGCTTGCAAGCACGGACGACGCAGATCAGCTGCGGCAAGCATTGAGTGACCTGCTGCAACAGCTCGACAAGGAAAAGCAGCACGCACAATCAAGTGCTGCGGCTGCACGTGAGCGTGGACAGCAGCTGGAGTACATGGACACGGCTGTCGCCGGCAGCCGGGGAGGAGCCATGCTGACGACCCCACGAACAGACGGGAGGTATAGGGACGGCGTTGGAAGGAACGCAGAATCATCGCAGCAGTCCTCATCCTCATCCCCCGCACGTCGAGGTGCAGGCGGCGGTGGTGATCGCGCGACCACAATGACGACAATGATGACAACAGATACGCTGCACTCCTCTGGTGGTCGGGCGAATGCAAGCGCACCTGCCCCGGATTCGCTTCTCGTCTCGTCTTCCGCTTCCCGCCAGCGCTACGCCACGCGGCAGGAGCAACACGAGCAGCAACGGCACGAACAGCAGCGGCGGGGGCACCACGCTGACGTGGGCGGCCCTGTTCCGCTGGAGCTGGGCGGGATGGATGCAACCGACAGTCGCCAACTGCAGCCGCTTGCACCAACTGCCCATGCCGGCGCTGCTGGCAGCAGTGAGCGAATCACCTCGCAGTGGCACTCGCTCGAGAGCCGGCACACAGGAACAACAACGTCCTCCGTGCTGGGGCCAGCAGGTGCCACTGATGACAGCCCCCACACACGACGCAGCGACGCAAAGGACACGCTTGCCGGCGTTGATGCTCCAGACAAACACGCGTCTGAATCGATGGACATGACGGCATCGCACCGGCGCCCGGTTGACAGCCTCTACGACACGACAAGTGCTCGCCGTGTACATGAAGATATGCCCGCTGCGGGCACTGAGGAAGACAACAAAGCAGCAGCGAACAACACCGACAACAACAACGGCAACGGTGATGGGCGTGGTCACAGCATCGCACACGAACAGCAACAACAGCAGCAGCGACAGGAAGAGGCCGGCATGTTGTTGCTCGTTGGCGCGAATCGCGAGTACCAAGAGGACGACGATGGGGATGACGATGATGATGATGCTGATGCTGATGCTGAATTGCACGCCATCCACCACAGCCGCCGCCGTCATCACGGTGACAGTCATGCGAGGGCTGACGATGCTGAGCTCAGTCTCGTGGCTGGTGGCATCAGTGGGTATGCACGCCACGGCCGCACTACCGGCGGCCAGCACATGCGCAGTGGTGGCGGCAGCACATCCCGTGCATCCAGCCAGCAGTCGTCGGCCGCTGTGCAGTCCAACGACTCACTCGAGGACGCACATGTGCGCAGCGCGGCTGCCGCTGCAAAGGACGCGGCTGACCTCGGTGAAGGTCGTGGCGATGATGGTGACGGTAGCAGTGATGCGCGTGCTGCACTCTCGCCGCTCGTCGTTTCCACGTCTGGCGTGTCAGCATTCCCGCTGCAAGACTCCATGCGTGCACGCCAGCGCGGGTCTGCGCAAGGGTGGAGCCGGGAGATTGACTTGGCGGAAGGCGAACGGGCAGACGCGGTGGCGCTGCGCGAGACAGATGAACTGCGGTACAATGAACAGCACGATGACCCTCGTGGTGATGCTGGCCATGATCATGATGATGATGAGGATGCCATGGCTGACAATGACGATGACAACATGCTGCACCGCCGGCACCACCATGCCAGTGATCACGATGCACAGGGCGCACCCTCCATCGGCGCGGCATCGCAGCGAAGCCACGCCGCCGACTCCCTGGCAGGCTCCTTGCAGTCGACGGCTGATGTCGCACACGCAGCGGAAGCGAGAAGAGCTGCTGGCGCACGCCAATCTGCAACAACAAAGACTGCAAGCCGTGGCACAGTTGTGGACGACAACAACACCAATAGCGCCAACCCCACCAGCGACACGGCCCGTGTCGATATGACGCCTGCACAGCGTGCTGGAGATGCGGCAGATGTGCAGCAACAGTCACCACGGCGCACCCCACGCAAGCGGTGGGATCTGCGCGGAAAGGACCAGATGCCCACGCCGCGCGCCGGTGTTGCGGGACCAGCCTACGGCTCCAGTGGCGATGCGATGGCACAGTCGCCAGCCCCTGTTAGTGGTGCGTCAGGCAGTGGTGGCGGCGGTGGCGGTGATGGTGCGATGGCGCTGGTTGCCATGAGCAGTTTCATTGACCTGGGCGTGGTGTGTGTGAAGACGACCACAACACACGCGGTGCATGTGCAGAGCAACAGCGATGACTGGGTGCAGCTGCGACTGCAGGTGACGTCCACGCCATGCTTCTTTGTTCCGAGTGAGGAGACGGTGCTGCTGCCGCCCCACCGCGAGTCCAGCATCACTCTCCACGTCACGTGTGCAGAGGCAAAGGTGCATCGCAGCTTCCTGTTTGTGTACTGCACGCGCGTGGATGAGCGTGGGCGTGAGGTTGCCGACAGCAGGCCAGAACGCATCATCTGCTCTGTGCGTGCTGTGGGCGAGGACGCTAACATTGTCGTCACAGGCGACCTGGCTGGCTCGCTGCTTGATGTTGGCGCTGCGTGCTTTGACGGCAGCACGTCAGCGCTCGTACAGCTGGAGAATCGTGGGCGCTGCGAAGTCCCGCTGCTGCTGCGCATTGGCGCTCCACTTGACGCCAGCAAGCACGCAGCCGACCAGCCAGGACAGGCGCGTGCACACGCGCGCGATGGCCGCAGCCCTGCTCACCAACAGCAGCAGCAGCAGCAAGACGAGGAAGAGGAAGCGGCGTTTCCGTTCACCATCTGCCAGCACCAGCCAAGGGAGGGTGATGTTGGCACAGCGCAACTTCGCTTGACGTTGCACCCCTCGCAGGCGCCCATCAGCCTCTGGGTGGCCTTCAAGCCTGTTCCGGGCGTGCACGTTCCGGAGGATATGCTGCAGTGCCGCGATACGAGGTTTGCTGCCTCGCTGGTGGTGGCTGTTGCGTCGCAGCACGACCCCACAGGCAGTCGTGGCCAGGGTGCTGGTACGGCGAGTGTGGTGCTTCAGCGGCTGGATGTGCAAGGCGTGTGCAGCGTGCCTCGTCTGGAGGTGCCTCGGGTGATGCAGGCCATGGTGTTTCGTGCAAAGACGCCCGGCGACGTGATTGAGCGAGACGTACCCATCCGCAACCGCAGCCTGCTTGGCTGCCATGTGAACGTGTCTGTGCGGGAGGACGATGCCGCTTCGTCGTCCGCTCGTGGCGGCGGCTCGTCGCTCGGCCTGCCGCCCTCCAGGGCATTCTCCGTCTTCCCGCCCCTGCTGTATATGCAAGCAGGTGAGCAGTCGCTGGTGCGGGTCAAGTTCTTCCCGAGCGAAGGCGACGTGCACGTTGGTGCGCGCCTGTGCTTGTACATCCAACCCCGCGGCCCCACGTACCGGCTTGCTCTCAACGGCGTTCTCGATGGCCCTTCAAAGCCGCCGCGAGCAACATCCACCGCAGCAGCGGCAGCAGCAGCAGCAACATCAACAACATCAACTGCAACCTCACAGCACCGGCAGGAGAGTCACAGAAGGCGTGGTCAGCAGCAACGTGCTGTGGAAGGGAGACGTGCGGAGCAGCAAGCTGCAGCTGCAGACACATCGGCGTCCCTCGATGACCGAGGTGGTGAGGCGGCAGCAGCCACGGCGCAACGGCTTGGGGTGTTGCCCAACGTGTCAGGGACATCGTACGGGTCCAAGCACTACTCAACGACTTCTGTTGAGGACACGAGCGCCGTTGGCGGAGACACGAGTCTGCTGCCACACATCTATTCGCCCAAAGGTCGCACTGGGCGCCAAGAACAGCAACAACAACTCCCAGGAGATGCGGAGAACTATCAGCGGCAGCAGCAGCAGCAACAACAACAACAACAACAACAACAACAACAACAACAACAACAACAACAAAAACAACAACAACAAAAACAACAACAACAACAACGAAACCAAGAGTGGCAGCAGCAGAGGCAGCCAGGACGCGCACGGGAACAAGAGCAGGAGCAAGCAGGGCGCGGAAAACCGGCAGACATTCTGCTGCTGTCTGACCAGGCAGCGCTGCACTTTGGCGGCGTTGAAGTTGGACAGATGACATGTCGACCGCTCAAGCTGCGCGTTCGCTCGCCTGTGGACGCCCCAATTGAGGTGGAGTTGAGCGTGGACGGTGCGCACGCAAGCTGCTTCTCCATCGTGGAGAACGCAACCGTATCAATCAAACCCACCAGCACACGCAGCACTGGTCTGCGCTGGGTGACGGTGCTGACCGCTGGCACGGACGCTACAATCCAGGTGCTGTTCACGCCACAACGCAACCTCCTGTACGACTGCACGCTGCTGATGCGTACGCGCGTGCAAGGAGCACCAAAATACACGTGCCGGTTCCGCATTCCACTGCTTGGGTACGGTGGCATCTCGCGCCTTGACGTCACAGAGGCTCGCGGTGGGCAGAGCACAGCAACCACTGGTGGTGGTGGTGGTGGTGGAGGCAAGGCTGCCCCGCCAGCACTGCTGTTTGCTGAGCCGCGTGTGCTGAGTCTTCGTCGTGTTGCCCCGGGCCAGGTTGTCACTGTTGAGCTGCAGGTGCGGAATGTCGGCTCGCGCGCTGCGTATGTGCTCGGGCGGTGTGCCGACCACTGGGGAAAGCCCATGCGTGCTGAGCGGGCAAGTGTGTCACCTGCTGGGCTTGTCATCCCACCAAACCTGAGCAAAACGCTTCGCGTGAGTCTGGCGCCAACCTTCAAGGACATGGACGAACTGAAGAAGCTGAGCGAGCGCGCGCAACGGGACGGGCAGGCACGGCCGCCGTTTGTCACGCTGTCACTGTTCACGGGCGACGAGGTTCTGCGGCGGCGGCTGCGAATGCACCAGCGCAAGGAGCGTGACAGCGATGAGCGGCCTGTGGAGGACGCGCTGAACGAGAGCAACAGCACCGTGCATGCGACGTGGTTCATGAAGCACTTTGCCAATGAGGAGAGGGTGGTTGACAGAGAGCCCGTGGACATGGTTGACCCAAAGCATGCTGCGCTTGACGCACGCTGCTTCCTCGACAGCATGGCGTGTGTTCGCCTCAACATCACCGCCAGCGCCATCGCAACACTCCCGTCTGACCGCCGGGTGGACCTGCACAACATCCACAGCGACAGCGCGCGTCGTCGCTCGAGTGCGCAGCAGCACAGCGCCCGCCGCGGCGATGCAGCCAGGGGCGAAGACAGCGGTGGCCACCATGGTGGTGGTGGTGGTGGTGGTGGTAGTGGCCATGGTGATGACGACACTGGGGAGAATGGTGGTGCTGCTGCTGCTGGACATGGGGATACAGGCAGTGGCAGGAGGAAGAAGAAGGGTGCTGCCGCTGGTGGCGCGCGAGTAGCCAAGCACGGTGGTGTCGCTGCCGGGAACAACTCGAACGCTGCCGAAGCAGCAATGGCAATGTCTCCCGCTGGTACAGAATCATCGAGAAGGGACCGGCGGCGCCGAAGCGGTGGTCGTGGCGGTCGGCGTGATGGCGACAACGGCACAACCTCTCACCAGCACCAACAGCGTGCAGAAAGTCAACCCTCTGCTGCTCCACTTGCACCACCGCCGCGATCGTCATCATCCAAGGCTACGAAAGGACAGCAGCCATCTGTATCCGCATCATCGCAGCCGCAGGGCCACCCCAAGCGCGTCCGTCGCAAGCGCAGAACAACAGGTTCCACCAGCGCTGGCGGCACTGGGGGCACTGGTGGTGGTGATGGTGGGGTGCCGTCATGGAGTGTCGTGCCGGCAATGGTGCAGGTTGGCCTTGCCGATTCTGCCACCGTCTTCATCAACAACCATCAGAACAAGCGCTTTGAGTTTGATGTGACGTGGTCCGCGTACGCACTGGATGTCCGCCCAGCGTCAGGTGTGTGGGTATGTATGTGGGTGGTTGGATGCGTCTGTCTGTCTGTGGGTGTGTGGGTGCGTCTGTCTGTCTGTGGGTGGGTGTGGGTGTGATGTGTGGGTGTGATGTGTGGGTGTGGGTGTGATATGTTTATCGAACACTTGTGAGCATGCCTGTTGTTGGTGTGTTGGTTGCACTTGTGTGTGGTCGCGTGCCTGGTGTGTCTGTGTGAAAACAATGCCCTCTCGCAACCCTGTGCGTTGCGTGCAGAAGCTCACAGCAATGTTCTCCCTTCTCCCGGCATTGCCTGTTGCTGGCTGCAGGGTACCTTGAACCGAAGGAACGTATTGCTCTTCGCATTCGCCCGCGCAAGTCGTGTCCGTTCTTTGCCTCTCGTCGCCACACGCCAGACGTGCACGTGGAGAAAGTGTATGTGCTGTGTGATGGGCACCAGCAGTGTATTGACGTGCATATCCACATGGTGGACTCGCTCGTGTCCCCAACAGCGACCATGTCCACCAACGTCGGCAACGCCGAGCGCAGTTACAACACGAGCTCCACCGAGCTCAAGCCGCGTGACGATTTGTCGCTTGCGGACCTATCTTCCACCCCGGCGCCACCAAACGGCCACAACCCGTCCGACCTCGACTGGACGCCAGCACGTGAGGATTTCGTGCATATGTCTGTGACTGTGCCTGTATGTATGTATGTATGTATGTATGTATGTATGTATGTATGTATGTATGTCTGTCTGTCTGTCTGTCTGTCTGTCTGTCTGTCTGCGCGTCTGTCTGTCTGTCTGTCTGCGCGTGCGTGTCTGTCTATGTATTTGTGTCTGTGTGCACACCGTCTACTCCTTGACAATTCCTTGACTTGACTGCACCCTTACACGTTTCGAATCGTCAATCCAAATGCGTCACTACCATGCGTCCATTCAGCTGTGGGCGGGAGCAATGCGCCACTTGTGATGCAGCCAAGCCGTGTTGCCTTCGGGCCGGTGAGACGAACACGAAGAAGTTCATGCTCACACTGTGTTGTGTGCTGTGCCAACCATGCACTGGCATGTCCTCAGCCCCCGCTGTGTGTGTGTGTGTGTTCACGCGCTGCGAGGTGCGCATGGCACACCTGTTTCGCCTGTGTCTCGGATCTTTCTCAACATGTCTTGTATCTCTCATCACCTCACCATTTGGTCTTGCTTCCGTGCCCTTGACTGTGCGTTTGCAGACTGAGAAAGGCACACGGGAGGATCAGTTCTTGTTCATGCACAACACAACGCAGGAGGTGTTGACGTGGGTTGCATCATCCGTTCGCCAAGCTTACGTCAAGGTCAGAAGCATGGAGTTGCGCGTGTGTGGTCGTGCGAATATGAATGTGTGTGTGTGCGTGTGTGTATGTTAGAGAGAGAGAGTGTGTGTGTGTGTGTGTGTGTGGTTGCTTGCTGGTCATCTTCAAGTTGCGTGCACTCCTCCATGGGCTCACTCCGCAAGCGTGGTGCGTTGGGGACAGGTGGATGATGACAACGGCAACTACGTGGCCAACTACCCGGCCTTTGTGTTTGAGCGCCAGAGTGGATCCATCCAGAATGGATGTAGTTTGCGGTGAGCAGCATGCTGCCTTGTGTGCGTGCGTGTGTGTGTGTGTGTGTGTGTGTGTGTGCGTGCGTGTGTGTGTGTGTGTGTGTGTGTGTGCGTGTGTGTGTGTGTGTGCGTGCGTGCGTGTGTGTGTGTGCGTGTATTGCGTATTGCTTGGGGTTTCCATTCGTCTATCTGTGGCTGCGTGTCCACGACCATTGTATCACTTTGTCGCCTCTTCGAAGTGCCCAACTGACTTGCATGTGCACATGTATGGATCTATTTCCCTCGTCAGCCTTCGCATCAAGTTTGCACCGCGTCACGCCGGCGTCTTCACGCAGCTGTGGAACATTCAGTACTCCGTGGCAGGAGTAAGGAGCTCCCTTGTCGTGTGACTCGTTACTGGTCGTGCTTGTGTGTGCATGTGTATGTGTATGTGTGTGTGTTGTGTTGTGTTGATCCGCATGTTGGTACACGCGTTTTCATTTGGCAAAGCAGAGCAACAGCAGTAGCACCTATCAACCCTCTCATCACACTTGTGGCCAACAACACACGTGTGCAGTCGACGGAGCGCATGAAGGTGCCGCTCCAGCTGCGCGGAACCGCTACGCAGTCGACTCTGCATCCGTTCGCTCGCGGATTCACTGCCGCTGCTGCTGCCACCAACGGCGCTCATGCAGACATCAGCACCACTGACGCAAACACATCGGAGCACCACAGCCACGGTGTGTGTGTGGGGGGGGGGGTGGGTGGGGGCGGGTGTATGCCTTTGGAGCTGGAACAAGCCGTTAGTCCCAGTCGCCAACCCTAATTCTGCTGTCTGCATGTGTGTGTGTTTGCGCGTGTGTGTGTGTGTATGTGTGTGTGCGTGTGCGTGTGCGTGTGCAGAGACGACACCGAGTCGTGGCGGTGATTCGCGCACGCGGTACGACGCGACCTCAGACACGCAATCCACGTCGAGCAAGGTGCGATGGATGCGACAAACAACACCATTGAAGGGGTGGTGATTGATGATGGGTGATGCTGCGAAGTGTGGATTGTGCACAATGAATGTTGCGTCGTCCCAGGCACCTTTATCACATCGACTCTCATCCTCATGTGTGTGTGTGTGTGTGTGTGTGCAGCGAGTGAAGAAGCAGCGCGGGCTGCGCGTCATTCCGACGCGCGTCGACTTTGGCGCTACGCGAGTTGGCGAAGAGATGCGCATTCGTGTCAAGGTGAGCTGTCATGGCAGACGCAGAGAGACTGAGACTACGAGATTGATGCATCGTGCGCACGCAAGGACGCAGGCAACGGTGTGCACAGCGTGAAAGGATATTTCGACATGTTCGCATTCTCATGTGTGTGTGTGTGTGTGTGTGATTTGCGTGTATTGTGCATGTATTGTGCATGTGCATTGATGTGCGTCTGTGTGCAGGTGTGCAATGAGAGCGCCAAATCGAGCCTTGTCGGGTTCATGACAACCGGTGCTGCGTTTATGCTGCGGCACGTCAGCGTGGAACTCCGGCCCTTCTCCTACGTCGAGGTGTGGGTGTGTGCGTTGTGTACATGCGCGTGTGCATGCGCGCGTGCGCGTTGTGTGCATGCGCATGTGGGTGTGCGTGTGTCTGTCTATCTCTTCGTGAGGTGTGCATGATTGTGGACCAGGCGATGAACCCGACAGCAACCACTTGCTGGGCGTGTAGTCGCTACGGCGTCACCCCCCCCCCCCAACGCATCGCTCACCATCAGTTCATCCACCACCCTGTCTGCAGCTGCCAATCACGTTTGTGCCGCGCACAGCGGGTGTGCACGAAGGAAACCTTGTCGTCACACACGAAAGCGGCGCCAAGACCGTTCGTGTCAAACTCAAAGGACAGGCCCTGTAGCTCCTCCTTTGTGTGTGTGTGTGTGTGTGTGTGTGTGTGTGTGTGTGTGTGTGTGTGTGTGTGTGTGTGTGTGTGTGTGTGTGTGTGTGTGTGTGTGTGTGTGTGTGTGTGTGTGTTCTGTAGGGGTATGGGAAGGTGTTCATATCCCTGCTTTCCTATTATGTCTCCTGCCCCTCCTATTTTGGCATCGGCATCGGCCTCTCCGCCTCTGTTGTAGTCATGGTGTGCTTCTGTGGCTTTAACCACATGTCATATCACATTACATCCCTAGCTTCTTGTTCGATTCGTGTTTGTTCATGTTTTGTTTTCCTCCCAGCGTCGCGTGTCTCTCGTATCGTATTGACCCTCTTTGATTGCCATCGCTGCTTGTGGCGTTGGTGGCGGGCGCACTGTGCATACAAAACAACCATCCGTACATGTCTCGCTGGTGTGAAGAGGGGTGGAGTGAGCCCTCAAACACCTCATCAAGGACGACAACGCAGACCGCACACACACACACACACACACACAACCACTGCGTGCTCCTTCAGCAGCCCGGGTCGAGGCCCAGCACCTCCTGCCCGCTGTATGGGATGCCGTAGATGCCGCCGGTCTTTGCCAACACGCCGCCAAACCACGCCAGTGCCGGGACATCGATGTCCGTGATGGGGGTGGTGCCGGCCGTGCGGGTGATTGGATCGACAATCAGGATGGCCGCGGTGCTGACGGGGATCATGTACACGAGCCCGTTGGGCGCGAGCACGGCGCTGGTCCATCGTGGTATTGTGCCTGACAGGCCCGTGATGGAGGTGGTGTCGGTGGTGTTGGTGTTAGTGTCGATGATGAGCACATTGGACGCCGTGTACGGGGCGGCGAAGATGAGGCCGTTTGGTGCCAACACCCCGCCCTGCCACGATTTTTCGCCCAGGTCAGACCCAAAGAAGGAGACGGTGTGCGTGTTGGTGTCAATGACGAGCACGTGATCTGCGTTGCGCGGGATGCAGTAGATGAGGCCGTTGTCTGTGAGGGCGCCGCTGTGCCACTTCAAATCGCCCTGCTCCAGCCCCTTGATGGTGGTGGCGTCGGCGGTGTTGGTTTCGGGGTCAATGATGAGCACGCTGGTGGCGGAGGCGGGGATGGCGTAGATGAGCCCGTTCTGCGCCAGGACCCCGCCAATGTACTTGTCGCCCTGTGGCGGGCTGGGGTCCGCGAAGGAGGTTGCCTCTGCCGTGTTTGTGTTTGTGTTGATGACCAAAATGGTCTGGGCGTTGCGTGGTATGCCGTAGATGACGCCGTTCTTGGGCGAGAAGACGCCCCAGTTCCACTTGTTTAGGATGCTGGCGACGTTGGGGATGGAGATGGTGGAGATGGTGGAGCCTGCGTGTGGGTTGATGACCAGCACTTCCTGCGCAAAGCCTGGGATGCTGTAGATCAAGCCGTTGTCTGCCAGCACGCCGCCAACCCACTTGCCTTCGATTGAGGTGAGGGAGCCAAAGGAGGTAGTGTCCAGCGTAGCGAAGCGGCAGGTTATGTGCTCCAGCATGCTGATCTGGTCTTGCTGCTGCTCCAGCAGCGCCTGCTGCGCCTCGATGGTGCTCTGCTGTGCGACAATGTCCACGCCGTTGATCAATATGCGCTGCTCGCTGTCTGTAGTGAAGATGTGGAAGGTGCCATTCCCGTCTTCCTCCAGGACAACCTCGGCACGAGCGTGGCCGGCAGCGAGGAGACCCAGCACCGCCACTACGGCAGTGGCAGCCATTAAGGTCGGGGGTGCCATCGTGCGGTGCGGTAGGTGTTCCTGGTGTTCAGGCAGTTGGGAGGGAGTTGCTGAGAGAAGGAGATAGAAATGAAATGGCAACCAGTGGTCTATCGGTGCTGCGGGTCGTCTGGTTGTTGGTTACAAGGTTACAAGTTGTTCTGTGGTGTGTGTGTGTGTGTGTGTGTGTGTGTGTGTGTGTGTGTGTGTGTGTGCGTGTGTGTGTGTGTGTGTGTGTGTGGTTGCAGTCACAGTGTGTCGCTGCACAGCTTGCATGTGGCCTGTACACCCGCACAGCAGCAGAACAGGTCAGCGGGAGGGAAATGGATTGGAGCAGAAAGAGCAGCGTGACGATTGAGGGAAATGCGAGAACGGAACAAGCGAAACTTGTTGGCGTTTGCGAGTGGGTGTGACGTCAAGGAAGTGACGTTGGTACAATTGAAACGCAAGGCGGTGGTGCATGTGTGCCTGTGTGCCTGTTTCCCTTGCACCACCACCAGCCAGCCAGCCAGTTTGCACGTCGCATGGCTTGCTTTTTCTTTTGTGTGTGCGTATGTTTAATCTTCATCGTCATCATCAGAGTCTGAACCGTCACTCTCATCATCGTCATCGTCGGCCAGCTCTCTTCGGGCAAACTGCACAGAGGGGTTGTTGAAGTGAGATGGCAGTCAGTGGCCTTCCGAGGTTTTTAGCAACACACACACACACACGTACACAAATATAAAAACAAATACAACAAATACAACCAGATGCACGCCCACTCTGACACTACCTCACGCACACACCCTCATTCTCACGCACGCACACACACATGCTTACCTTGATGTTAGTCTTCTGCTTTGTTTGTTGGGCGACTTGGCCAAGGAGCCGCTTCAGCTCACGCTCGTCAACCTGAGAGGCGCACGAGCACGGTGCAGGGCATCGACGTGGCGTGTGTGAGTCGAGAATGACGAGAATGACGACAGCTCGGAGAAAGGGGAGGTAGAGGAGGGATGGCCGAACACAATACAAGGTGTGACAATGCAAGCAGAGCAGCTACAGCACATTTAATGGCCACGTTACACGGCTGCACACGCTCAAACACTGGCACACGCACACATACGCGCAACAAGTCTGCGTGCATTCATGTACTCGCTCACAAACGCACATGCACCCGCGCACACGTAGCACACACGCACACACCAAAAAAAAAAAAAAACATACACACATAACACACGCACATAACATATGCACGCACACACGCAGACAAGAGCATGACCTTGCCGTGGATTTGACCGTTCTGCGCCATGCGGATGAGGAGGTTTTCAACAAGGGCAGCGGTTTCGGGCTTCACAACAGCAATGCTGTTCACTGACGAAACAAGGTCGAGCATGGGCCAGCAGCAAGGAAAGAAAGAAAGGAAGGTAAGTCAGCACACGGTACAGTCCACGCAAATGGTGTGCACACGCAACAAGGAATATAACGCAACTCATACACACACACACAAACACATACACACGCACACACACACAACAACAACTTAAACAACAACAACTAAAACAACTTAAACAGCAACAACAACAACTTAAACGACAACAAACAATACTGTGCGCAGTTAGGGGTTGCTTACGTCGTGCGCGTGCTGATTGTGTCATGATGGAGCCAAGCATTTGATTCTTCATCTCCTCCATTTGCCTACAAAGTGGCGAATGCGAGGTGTTGTGTGTGAGTGTGTGTGGGTGTGTGTGAGTGTGTGTGTGAGTGAGTGTGTGAGTGTGAGTGTGTGTGTGTGTGTGAGTGTGTGTGTGAGTGTGTGTGTGAGTGTGGGTAGTGAGTGGAGTATGGATGAGTTGTGTGCACAGATACCGATGACCAATCAAGTGCGCTGCAATATGTACACGCGACGACAAGGCGTCCAACGCAACCACGCACCGCTTCTGCTCCTCTTGCTGCTGACGCTGCTTCTGTAAGCCCGTGTCGGTATGTTGGCAGTGCGCACATGGTTACGGTGTGAGTGTTGTTGACTCAAGTGGGAGTCGGGATGCAAGCGCACACAAACCAAGAACATGTGTATAGCGAGGATATACCAAAGCAAACACACATCGCAAACACACACACACACAGCAAACACAAACACATAAAACAAACACGCACACACACACGCACACGCATACACACGCGCACAAACACGCGCGCACAGAGCAATCACACAGCAAACACACACACACATACACAAACACACCAAACACAAACAAACACCAGGCATAATACCCTTTGCGCCTGCATCTGGGCAAGGCGCGGGTCCTGTTGCTGTTCCTCTTCTCCTGGACGCTCCATGACTGACGATTACGGTTTGTCTGTTTGTGTGTCGGTGATGAACGTCGTGCAGTGTGGTGTGGTGTCGTTGTTGCGATAGCACAGTGTCACATCATGTCGTCACAACATCAAATGCCAATCATCACGTCGTCGTCGTCGCACTCACATCATCACGTCACACACACACACACACACACACACACACCACATCGCATCTGTCCGCCCTTCCACCACTTTCAGCCCACAACGCTTACTCTTGCAGCTGTTGTCTCTGCTCTTGCGCACTTGCTCCTTGGCAAATGTCTGTGGACAATTACAAGAAGATATTCGAAAATTCTCTACACGCCGCATTTCTTGTGCCTCGATGCATGCTGCACACCAACAACAACCTACCTTCCTTCCTTCAACACACACGACGCACACTTCTTCCTCACCCCTCATTGCCGTGCCATCGCCGTTGGGAGTTGGTGCGTTTGATAAATGCATGCACAAAGGGAGGTGGGGGAGGAGGCACACAGCACGCACCCCCTGCCCACGCTCCTGTTTCCCCGGCTTGCACGGGCCAGCTTTTCAGACACGGCTGAGTCGTTGTCCATCACAGAGCCCTGTTTCCTCACCTTCGTTCCGCCCCTGACCACCCATCTCGCTGTGTTTTGATTTTGATCGTGCGCGCGCTCGCAGGCCTTTTTGGCTTTGTCGTGATCGGAGCACGCACACTCACATACGGAGAGGCTCAACAACAAGCGCCATCCTCATTCCCGTCGTGAGCCGTCGCCCTTCTCTGGCAGCCCGGCATATTCTTGAGCGCGTACCGAAAGCTTGTACTCAAGCTTTTGGTACACGCCACCGCCCTCTTGCTTCCTACAATGCTGGACGTTTTCACACTCGCGTGTCCTCCCGGAGTTAGCTGACACCCGCTCAACGCCAACGTTCAACCCCTCCGCTCTTCTTCTTCCGTCCCTCTCGCTCCATCTTCTTCTTCTTCTTCGACCATCGTCCCCTGTTTTTCTTCAAACGAAGGCCGAGTCCCGCTCAGGAACATTCCTAAGAACCCCCTCCCTGTCTCACCCTTCCACTCCCCTCGACGTTTGCGCACTCATAGCGTTCACCGCCATCCTCCTCCCCTTTTCGCATTGTAGCGTGTGCTGTTAACCTTCTTCCTTGTTGATCGTACTCGCTGTTTTCAAGCGGTTGCTTCTTGTTCTCAAGCATCCTGGTCTGCGTGTGGTTTTGTGTTCACATCACACGCCAAAACGCAGTGACACAGCACATCACACACATTGTGACTCAACTTTCACAGCTAGTCTCTTTCCCCCTGCATCACACACGTGTGTGCACAACTACTTGTTCTTCCTTCCCTCCTTCACGTCGAGGCTTGCCACTGAGCGGCCCATCTCGCTCACACGCCTTGACCCCTTTGCCTTCACTTTACTGCGACAACTACTGCTCTCCCGCTTGCTCCCCCATATGGCCAAGTCGTATGGCACGGCGCACGCGCCGCTGGTTGGCAGCTCACCAGATCCAGCCGACTCTGTGTGGAGGCGCCCCTATCGGGTTGCGTGCGACGTTCTCCCGCACGCTGACTTTGAAGACGATGACCCGCCCATCTACGTGAGTCCACCCGGCACTGTATGGTGTGTGTGTGTGTGTGTGCGTATTGTGTTGTGTTGTGTTGTGTTGTGGTGTGGTGTGGTGTGGTGTGGTGTGGTGTGGTGTGGTGTGGTGTGGTGTGGTGTGGTGTGGTGTGTCTGTGTGTATTGTGTCTGTGTCCGCGGGTCTGCTTGCAGAGCTTGCTCCCCCCCCCCTCTCATCCCATGCCCACTCTTCTGATCTCTCTCCAGTGCATGTGGGAGACCATGACGTGGCTGTCTCTTGCCCCCCCCCTGCCCCTCAACCTTGATCCCCCAGCTCACACCTGCCGCCCAATACCCCACTCACTGCCTCAACCCCTGCTGCCTCTGCCCTCCATCCCAGGTTGACTGCCGGCGGTATGTGACCGGCAAGCAGCTGTTGTACTGGCTGCTGACGCTGCTCACCGTTGGGCTGTTGCCGCTCGTGTGCAAGTGGAAGCCGACGTGGTCTGCGATGCTGCAGACCACCTGCTGCCGTGTTGGCCGCGCGGACGTGCTGGTGGTCACCCGCCGCAGCAAAGGCCAGGGCGTGGAACGCGTGCGCACATACACACCGGCAGCACCCAACGCCGCCAAGATGATTGCCTTTGAGCATCGCCATGTGCGGTTTGTGCTGGACATGGACACGTCGACGTTTGTGCGCGTGGTCGATCTCTCGCAGCACACGACCATTGCCAAGCTGCACGCCCTTGTACACAAGCCGAGGTGGGCGGCTTACCAGCCAGGAGGGGGAAGAGGGTGGTGATGTTGTTGGTGTTGAGGCTGTTGCTTCCGGACTTTTACGGACTGCACACGCTTGCCGCTCGCTGCCGCTGCTTCAATCATTCGAAGCACACGCCCTGACGCACCTGCGCTTCCACACACCAACTCACTTCACCCACTCACTCAACACGTGGATACATGCATGTGCGTGCGTGTGTGTGTGTGCGTGGCCAGGGATGTGGAGGTGTCTGAAGACGAGTTTCTGCACGGTGCAAACAGCATCGATGTTGAGGTCAGCGCTGCTGCACATACAGTGGGCGATCGTGCGCTGCACCATGGCGTTCATGTGCATGGCATTCCGCACCATTGCGCTTCTGATCCGTCCGCGTTTGTCTTTGTTTGCCCATCCAAACGCACGGGCGTGCACATGCAACATTGCGCGCACGCACAACCACACAACCGCCCTCACTCACGTACTGATTTGCATACATTCGCGGGCGCAGGTCAAGTCGTACTTTGCGCTGCTGATTGACGAAGTGCTGACGCCGTTCTATCTGTTCCAAGCGTTTGCAATTGGGCTGTGGTGCATTGACGAGTACTACTACTACGCCGGTTGCATCTTCTTCATCTCGCTCGTCTCGGTTGTCCTCACGTTGGTGGAGACGCGGCGAAACGCAGAGAAACTGCACGACATGGCCGCATTTCACGCGCGCATCAAGCGCATCCACCCCTCGCACGACCCCAACACCGACGTTCTCACAGAGGTATGCGTGTGAGCGTGTGGGTGTGTGTGTGTGTGTGTGTGTGTGTGTGTGTGTGTGTGTGTGTGTTTGGGGGGGGCGAGTGAATGGGTGTGTGCCTCTTGCGTACGTCTGTTTGCCCTTGATTTTGAATCGGCTGGTCATGCTTTGAGGCCGCGTATTCTCATCCAACCTTCCTTGCTTCCTTCCTTGCTTCCTTTCCTCCCTTTCCTCCCTTTCCATCCTTTCCATCCTTTGCTTCCAACAGGAGGTGGATGCGACGCAGCTGCTGCCTGGCGACATGGTTGAGATTGAGGAGGGTGCCGAGATGCCGTGTGACGCCGCCATTGTGCTGGGCGGGTGTCTTGTCAATGAGTCCATGCTCACCGGCGAGAGCGTGCCTGTCACCAAGACATGTCTGCCAACAGATGCTGTTGAAGTGGAGCATGAGTACGCACCGACGACACACAGGGCGCACACGCTCTTCCGCGGCACATTTGTCATGCAGCGCCGCACCCCTGTTGTGCGGGCGATTGTTGTTCGCACGGGGTTCAACACGAGCAAAGGACAGCTCGTGCGGTCTATCTTGTACCCGAAAGGAACGCGGTTCCGCTTCTACGAGGACGGCCTCAAGTTCCTGATGGTGCTGGGCGTGCTTGCGCTGGCCGGGTTTGCGTACACGATTGTCGTGCTGCAACGTCACGGCGTCTCTGTCGACCACATTGTCGTCCGGGGCCTCGACCTCATCACCACCGTACGCCAGCACCTGCTGGCGCTTGTGTGTGTGTGTGTGTGTCTGTGTCTGTGTCTGTGTCTGTGTCTGTGTCTGTGTCTGGGTTATGTCTGCTAGTTGTGTGCCTGAACTTGTGTCTGTGTGTCTGCATTTCGTGTGCGGTTTTGCACACTTCTTCGCTCGCGCGCTCGCTCACACCAACTGCAACCTCCTTCCTCTCCTCCTCCTTCTCTCTCCTTCTCTCTGTCAGGTTGTTCCCCCTGCACTCCCTGCTGCAATGACGATTGGGACCATGTACGCGCTCGCCCGCCTCAAGAAACAGAAGATCTTCTGCATCTCCCCGCCCCGCGTCAACGTACGAACCGCACTCACCACGCACATGTTGTGCGGTGTGGTGGCCACTGTCATCACACAACTCGCTTTTACACACACTCACACACTCACACACTCACACTCACTCTCACTCTCACTCTCTCACACACTCACACATCCACACCCGCATGTCGACAGGTGGCCGGCAAGCTGAAGCTGTTCTGCTTTGACAAGACGGGCACGCTGACCGAGGACGGGCTGCACCTGTGGGGCATGCGCGATGTCGACACGACCACGCGCCGATTCGAGGCCCTCAACCAGTCTGGCACGCTGTACGGTGCACCCTCGGCGCTGGGCATGCTCGGAGCGTGTGCATCGTGCCACTCGCTGGCGGTGCTGAAGAAGAGCGCCGACACGACGATGCCTGAGCTGCTGTCGATGCTGGAAGAGGCAGACCCAACGCCTGGGCACCGCACGCTGCGAGACGGCGCACCCGCGTGGTCGCGCAACGCCAGCACAACGGGCAGCAGCGCTGGGAGCGCCGTCGGCAGCAGTGTCGGCAGCACGCGCAGCAGCCGGAGCGGCAGCGGCCGCGGGTCGTCGCCGGCAAACGCATCGGCACACGTGCACACGAACCACGCGCTGCCGCGGCAGGACCTTGTTGGCGATCCGCTTGAAGTGCAGCTGTTTGAGGCAACGAGGTGGCGGCTGTCTGAGCCTGGCGACGCAGAGCACGCGTACGTGCCGTCCATCGCTGCGCCGTACACGTATGTGCACCCGCCCGATGACCACGACGCCGCGTTTGTGCTGCAGTCGCGCAAGAACAAAGGCAACGGCAAGGACGCAGCAGCAGCAGCAGCAGCAGCAGCAGCAGCAAGGCACACGCGAGGACGACGCCATGCGCGATACACCGAATCCTCCGCTGATGGCTGCAGCCACAACGACATCGGTGCCTGTGACGATGATGGTGATAGCGATATCTGGGGCAACGGCCATAGCGGCACAAAACGGACAACAGCCTGGTCGGATTCCACAGCGCCAACCAGCGGGCACGGCAGCACCAGCGGTGACGTCAACAACGACAACAGCGGCGCTGATGGCGATGGTGCGGAGGAGCATGCTGCCAACGCGGGCAGCACCGCCACCAACAGCCCTGCGTCACGCGTGCATCCGTGGAACCAAATGACGTCGTCTGGCCTGGCTGTGCTGAAGCATTACACCTTTTCCAGTCGCAACCAGCGCATGGCTGTGCTCGTTGGCTCGTGTGTGAGCACGCCAGCGCACGGGGTGCAGGAAGGCCCCGTGTACTGTTACGTCAAGGGCGCCCCAGAGCGCGTGGCCAAGCTGTGCGACCCGGCCACCGTGCCCACGGACTTCCACGAGCAGCTGCGCACATACACGCAGCAGGGCCTGCGGGTGCTCGCTGTTGCTGGGCGGGAGGTGCCTGGGTCGTGGGCCGAGGCCAAGGCGCTGACACGAGACGTGATTGAGAGCAAGCTCACGCTACTTGGCTTCACCATCTTTGAGAACCGAGTGAAGCCGCGCACGGCGGCCACCATTGAGAAGCTGTCCAACGCGTGCATCCGCTCCCTCATGATCACGGGGGACAACATCCTCACGGCGTGCAGCGTGGCCAAGACGTGCGGCATGGTGCCGGAGCAGGGCGTGCTGGTGCAGGCGCACGTGATTGACGCGCGCGATTCGCAGTGGCGCATGCTGCACAGGCCAGCAGAGGCGCCCCTGCAGCTGTGCATGAACGGCAGTAGCACTGGTGGTGGTGATGGCAGCCGACACGGACACAGCAGCGCTGCTGCTGACAGGCGTGATGACGATGCTGGCGATGATGACTCATACGATGACGACGACGACGACGATGATGATGTCGCCTATGGTGGAAGCAGCAGCAGCAGCAGCAGCAGCAACCGAGACAAGAACAAGAGGCGGGGCAAGAACGGGGCAGCAAAGACATCATCGTCCTCATCATCGCAATCGTCATCATCGTGCACGTCGTCCAGCGACAGCCGCTACAAGCTGGTGCTGGAGCTGATTGACACTGACGCTCGCGTGGACGTTGGCATGGAGCCGGATGGCCTGCAGTTCGTGCGCTTCACCAAGCTTGCAGGGCAGCCACCGGCTTCCACGTGGCGCAGCAAGCACCATGCGCGCGCGCCCAAGATCTCCATTGCCGTGTCTGGCGCCGAGCTTGCCATGCTGCGCAAGCACTGCTTTGAGGACTACCAGCGGCTGATTGTGAGCGGCACGGTGTTTGCGCGCATGTCGCCTGACCAGAAGACGCAGCTCATTGAGGACCTGATTGAGCTCGGGTACTGTGTCGGCATGTGTGGTGACGGCGCCAACGACTGCGGGGCGCTCAAGGCCGCGCACGTTGGCGTGTCGCTCTCGGAGGCGGAGGCGTCTGTTGCGGCGCCGTTCACCTCCACGGTGCCGGACATTGACTGCGTGCAGACGCTGATTCGCGAGGGTCGGTGTGCGCTGGTGACGTCGTTCAGCTGCTTCAAGTTTATGGCGCTGTACAGCTTCGTTGAGTTTACGAGCGTGCTCATCCTGTATTGGATTGACAGCAACCTGGGCGACTTTGAGTACCTGTATGTGGATCTGTTTGTGATTCTGTCGCTTGCGGTGAGCATGGGTCGCACTGGCCCGTACACCAAGCTCTCCAAGCGCCGCCCTGCCGGCTCGCTCGTCACCGCCATCATCATTGTGTCGCTGCTGATGCAGATCAGCGTGCACATGCTGTTCCAGGCTGGCGCGTCCATCCTCCTGCAGCAGCAGTCGTGGTTTGTTCCGCTCAAGCCCGATGCCCACAAGGACAACATTGAGGGCTTTGAGAACACGGTTGTGTTTCTCGTCGCCAACTTCCAGTACGTGTGGGTGTCGATTGCATTCAGCATCTCCAAACCGTTCCGCGCGGGCTTGGCGTCCAACCTGTGGTATCTTGGCGTCGTGGTTGTGCTGCTTGCACTGGACGCGTTCCTCGTGCTGCACCCGTCCGGGTGGCTCGCCGATGTGCTGCAGATTGTGCACCTGCCCAGCCCGCGGTTCCGGCTGTGGCTGCTGGCGCTCGCTGTGGGCAACTTCATTGTGAGCTACTCGCTTGAGCGGCTGGTGGTGATGAGCAGTGTGTTCCGCCAGGCTGTGCGGGCGCTGCGACGAAAGCGCGCGTACAAGAACAAGTACAAGGAGGTGGCCAAGGAGGTGATTGTCTCGGATTGGGCCGTGGGCAAGGTCGCCATGCGCATGGACAGCGGCACAGACAGCACCGCATGATGATCTCTCTGTGTACTTTGTGTGTGTGTGTGTGCGTGTGTGTGTGTGTGTGCACTTTGTGTGTGCGTGTGTGTGTGTGTGTGCACTTTGTGTGTACATTCGTCGTGCATACGTATGTGTACACTTTGTGTGTACACGTATGCGCATATGTTGTTGGCTCGTTACACGCCATGTGTTTGTTGTCCATCTTTGCTCTTGTCGACCGCATCATAGATGCGTGTGTGCGCGCCCGCGTACAAATGTCTTAAAAACAGCGGTTGTTTCGGTCTCATCGTGTCTTTGTGGTTTTGAGCTTGCACGTTTCCTTCTTTTGTTCGTGCGTGTATGTGCGGAGTAGTAAATGCAGTGGCAGCACCAAGCAAGATGCGCGTCAATGCGACACCAGTTGACAAGTTGTTGGGGGGGGGGGTGAAGGGAAGGAGAACAAGAGACATCAGCAGCAATAACAGCAGCAGCAGCGTCAGCGCTAGCGATAACGAACCAACGAACGCGAGCGAGACACAGGCAACAGATGAGGAGGGCCCCGATTGAGAGTGAGGTCTGCATGATCATCAGCCGCTCTGCCAGTGTGCAAACAGCTCACGCGCGCGAGTTTTGTTGTGGCCATGGAATTCTGGCACAAACTCAACCTTGATCACCTCATCAAACCCTTCGCCCGCGCTCGGTGCCTTGTACTTGCTCCTGCGCAAAGTTTAGGGGGGGCGTGTGTGATGGTTGCGGGAGGGGGCGAGCGTCTGATGGGGACATACGGCTGCAAGCTGAACAAACAAACACACAACACACAAAACACCACACACAACACACACACAACAAGCAACAAGCAACACACACACAACACAACACACCCGCTGCACACCCATGCGACAACACGTGCAACGCACCTGAAGGAGTTGAATGCGACGTCTGGAATGCGGCGCCGCTTTCCGTCTGTGAGGATTGCGCGAAAGTAATTGAGGTGTGACGCAACATCGCGCGGTGTCGTCAACTCAACGCAGCGCACAGGAACCTGGTCACCATGTAAAGGCCGGGTGGTGTTGACATGCGTTGTGAGCAGTGTGTGTGTGTGTGTGTGTGTGTGTGTGTGTGTGTGTGTTTGTGAGCAGTGTGTGCGTTGTGAGCAGTGTGTGTTTGTGAGCAGTGTGTGTGTGTGTGTGTTTGTGAGCAGTGTGTGTGTGTGTGTGTGTGTGTGTGTGTGCGTGTGTGTGTGTGTGTCATGCAGCACCATAATAAGTTGGCAACAAGGGCAGGTAAGCCAAAAAAAGGCAAACGCACAACCCCAGATACAAAAACGATTACCGAGTGCTTGGTTGCGATTTGGATGAACTTGGCTCTGCTGGCTGGGTCTGGGTTTGTGTTGTCCACCACCACACTCTGTCCGTCCTCCAGCGCCTTGGCCGCCGCCTTTTCACACTTTGCCATAGTGCCCAGCGTGTCCCGGTTCACAATCACATATCCGTGTGGTTTGAGGTGGCGCTCTGCAAACGTGGACTTGCCAGACGCGGGCGAGCCAACAAGTACAATCTGGTGACAGCGAGTGGTGGGGGGGGGCGGTGAAAAAGAGAGAGAGAGAGAGAGGGGTGCACAGACAGAGGGAGGGACGAGAGTGGGGCGGAATTGAGGAGTGAGGGAGGGAGAGGCAGGCAGGCAGGCAGGCAGACACACACACATACACACACACCATCTCTGTGGGCGGGGCCTTCTTGGTGATGTGTGACATGTCGCGCGGTGAGGATACAGACGCTGCCAGCAGCTTGCCCGGATCAGCAGCCCGCCACTCGTACTTTGTCGCCTTGGGCTCGTCCAAGAAGAACTGACGCAGTGGCGCGTGGATGTGTATTTGGATGAGTGTGTGTGTAGTGTAGTGTGTGTGTGTGTGTGTGTGTGTGTGAACAAGTGAGGGGAAGCAAAACAGCCATGCGCAGGCAACACCATCATCTGCAACGTTATGCCCCACCTCCTCCGGTGTGTGGAATGGAACACCAATGTTGGCTGCAAACATGCGGTCGGTGCAGCTGAAATCCTACTTGGCGATTATGGTGGTGGAAGCAGCACAGGCGAGCACGTGAGCACAAAACCCACAGCCACAGCTGTTAATGCAGCCACACCCACAAATGCTCTACATTCACTCGCTACCCACAACCACGGCCGCAGCCACATGCTGCACGCACCTTCTTCATGCCCGGCTTCCAGTCCTTGGAGCGGCCAGCAGCATCACCCACAAACACGGACTGTGCGTGTGTGTGTGTCAGTGTGTGTGTGTGTGTGTGTGTGTGTGTGTGTGTGTGTGTGTGT